GGTTGGGTTGGACCATAGGTCAATCCCATTGTCAAGTCTAATTGGGACTATTTATGCATTGTTTGAAGTTTCCACTCTTTAATTTTTTTGTTTAGTCTTTACTCTTTAAATTGTAATTTTTTTTTGTAAGACTTTAAATTGTTAAATGTTCAAGTTTTTTTATTTTATATTTGGAWTTTTAAGGCTAATTCATTTAATTTTGGCATTTTTATGTAGTTTTTCTTTATTTTTTTTTAATTTTAGTTATTTTTTGAGATGATCCGAATTGACCCATGGGTCAACCCTAACCCAAACATAACATTTAGGATTAGGGACAACCCAACCCGAACCCGACCAACCCAACCCAATTGCCAGGTCTACCTATATGCTTYCCCCCTGGAGACCAAACCCTACCCACACACCGACGTCCATACAACAGTGAGTGACCCGAACCAGTGGCCATCAGTGGCGACGGTGAGAACTCTGGTGGTATGTTTCTTCTTTTTCTTCTTCTTCTTCTTCAGATGCTTTGTTTTGAGCACGCATTTCTTTATATTGGCAGTAGACCTCTTCATGGCCAGGCTCGAGTTTGGCTTTTGCCAAATACACGTCACTGAATCTATTCAACTGAAGTTCATTTGAGTTCAGGTCTCTAATAAATAGTTTGGTCACTTTGGTGGTTAGAGATAATAGAAAATTTTGAAAGATTCAAGATGATTGAATATTTGAATGTGCAAGGAAGATGGAAGKTTCCCTAATTTTGGATTATGCAAAGGGGAATCAGAAGAGCAATTGAACCTGTGTTAACGAGTACGAGTGTAGGACATGGTGTTGTTGCCTATGAATAAATTGGTTTTTTGGAACTAAGAGGAAGAGTCAAAAAGAGATGTTTTGGTGGTTGATTCGAGTTCATCCCATCGCCGCCACTGATACATTATTGGAATTTGAATAACAGAGCAGAAGAATTATCAATGGRCGAGCAAATAAAGGGCCAAAGGGTGTGAAGTGTGAACTGTGAAGAGCTGGGGGCTTTGGTGAATACTGAATAGAGATGATCAGGGTGTCTTTCTTCAAAATTTCACCATACCAATCGGTGATAGGTTATCACTTGCTTTGGTATTTGACTTGAGGTGAGAAAAATAGACGCCGGCATGGCCAGGGTCTCAGGGAGGAGTCCAGATCAGATCCTCACAGAGGAGCGCTCTGTGGGGGAYAGGGAGAGTATCATTTGAGTCCGAACTCCGAACTGTGCACATCAAAAACCTCTGGAGTTCTCCTTATCGCCGCTGATGGTCGTCGGAGCATACAGGGGAAAAGCATACAGGGTTTACTGCATCGGCCACTTGAAGGGTTCGGTGGGAGCATACAGGGGAAAAACCTCTGGAGTTCTCCTCTTCACATTCTCTTATACATGTTCGGACTTTTTTGTTCGATATTTTTTGACACCCCATCTTAGACACTTTTATTTATAACAAACATATGTACCAATACAACCATGTAACGTGCCATTTAATTTTTTGCGAAAATTCTATATCAGTATTTTGTATTTTGGCTCGAGTGATAAGTTGATTCTTGAATTTTAAAATGTGATAATCTAGTATCTGGACTTTTAAAATGTGGCAATTCAATAACTGCCGTTAAATAATCCGTTAATCAGTCGTTAAGTAACATTTGAAAAGTAAAAAATGCCCTTCAAATGCTATTTAGTTCTCTTTATCAACCATCCAAGCATTGACAATAAAATGAACATTCCCAAATTCTAGATTCTTCTAAACAGTCACCAACTTTTTTGAATAGAAGAGGCCAGGATTTGGAACTGTTCAGTTTTTTTGTCAACGTTTGGATGGTTGATAAAGAGAATTAGATGGCATTCTAAGGGCATTTTTGAATTTTTCAAATATCACTTAAAGGCTAATTAACGGACTGGTTAATAGCAGGTACCGGATTGTTAAATTTTAAAAGTTCAGGTACTGGATTGTCATATTTTGAAAGTTCGGGTAATGGATTGTCATATTTTGAAGGTTCGGGTACTGGATTGTCACATTTTAAAATTCAGTGACCAAATTGCCACTCGAGCCAAAGTACAGGGTATGTCGGGAATTTTCCCTAATTTTTTTAATGACAAAACTAACCATAGACCAATCACTTTTCCCTATTACCTATGTTTTATATAACAAAAATATCCTTGACTTATTTCTCTTCAAATATTTCAGTTTTTTCTTTTCTCACAATCCACCTACAGTTAAATTTCCCTACCAATAGTTCAATTTGAGTTAATGAACAGGCTTATTTATGGCACTTTGGCTTATAGTATGAAGTTTGAGTTGGATCTTGCAAACATCAATTTTATCCATCCCAATGCCTGACCGAGGGTAAGGGTACAATGGACCAGGTTTGAGTTGGATCTGTCTAAATCAAAATCAATTTAAATAGATTCGACAGACCAATACGACATATTAAATTGGAGAAGTCCAGACTTGATGGTCGAAATTATTTATTGGATTGGACTTGGTCCCTTTGTAATGGATTTATATTGGATTAGCTAGGTGGGATTAACCAATATCTGATCCATTGACATAAGATAAGAATATGGGTGTCAATGGACCAGACTTGGATTGGACCCCAATCTAAATTAAAACCAATTTGAATAGTTTGGACGGTCCATACATTGAATTACTAGACCAGTCGAGAATGGTCCAAAGCAATATTTAAAAAAATGATTTAGAATCAGAATTATTGCGGTCACCAATTTTCAGATTGACAGTTTGACCATCCAGTTTAAACGGACACTCCACTCTATCAATAAAAATTTTAAAAAATTAAAAAACGGTCAAAACTATTGAATGGGATGACAGTTTGACCACCCGGGTGAACGAGGTTCGAAAATCATGGTCCAAAGTAATCATCGAACCTGGTCCATGCATCTGTAACGGATTAATATCACAGTGGATCGGAATAACATAATTAGCTTTGTTGTACTGCTGGTAGTACAGATACTAATTGTACTTAACTTTCTTAATCAAGTATTTGTTGTTAATAGTAGATGAAACTTCACTAATTACTTAATTGTGACATTTTTGGGAAAATATTACAAGACAAAGTCAACTGGTGAGTTGTGACTGCGTAGTTGTCCATTCAATAAATTATGTACCCAAGTCTACTAATGTTTTTTGACCAATGATCCCGCTGCTTCATTGCAAGTACACATAAAGGTAAGAATATCACGAGTCCACGGAAACAAACACACAGTTTGTGGATCAAGAAGATGGTTTTGGGAGATAGTTTTGTAGTCTGGACCATTGGTTTCAGCTGCTTGTTGGCGTTTGCATTCGGCGCTACTGGGACTACTCTTGTGCCAGATGAAGGTGCGTGAGACTACTACTCTTTACAATTCCAAAGTGCTGAGAATTGTAAAGAGATCTAAATTCTAATGTTGTTTCTATTTTCAGTTTTTGAAAACACATTAATTCTCTCCAGTTATAATTTTATTAAGTGGGTATTAAAAACACTAGAAAAGAAGCCCTTAGGCTAAATCCATTCAACTAAAAGCAGTACTGCTACACACCTCTTCCCAGAAGATTTAAGACGATTAATGACTTACTGTGGATACAAGAAGTAGCAACAAATCTAGTTGATCTGTGAGCGTGATAGTGCTAGATCACAGGCCATCTTCAAACCCATAACTTTTTATACTTCAGTAAGAAAAATTAAATGAATGTTAGATGAACATATCTAAAGCATGCTGACTTTGTGTGGACATTCAACGTACAAGAAGAATAAGAAGAGGAGGAGGAGGAGGAGGAAATCCAATCATAAAGCGTATCAATCCTTTTCATATGTGACAAATGGTAAATTAGGGTATCCCAAAGAACGACCACAAGCCTTTCTATCCCTTTCCCTGGACATCCCATGAATGGGAGATTTTTATGGGAAGAATAGCTTTGGACAAGATGAGGTTTATGCATTAGAATTCTAGGGTTTTTTTTTTTTTTTTTCTTTTGTGGACTTGCAAATAGTATCTGATTGTCTGAATTCGAATTTGATCTCATTAAGGGTGATCTGAATTTGATCCATTTATAAATTGACTGAATATGAATTGACCCCTATCTGATCCGATAAAATCCAATCTTATCTAATATAAGTATATGCTCATATATACTTATAACTATATTGTATCTATTCATAAAGTGTGTGAAAATTGTGTCTTTACTAAATTGTCACAGGTTCAAGCTTATACATGCTATTTTTTATTCATTTTGTTCATGAAATACAATTGTAATTTTTAGTTCATTTTATTATGATATTTTGATAATTTTTAGTTTAATTTAATAACACCTCAATATCTATTTACAATTTGAATTTATATAAATCCATAATGATCTGATTCAAAATTGAATATAAACACATCAAAATTTGGATCTACTTATTTCTGTTTGCATCCCTAAATCACGGTCCACAAAATATCTTCTTCATTTTACTTCAACCAAATGGCAACTGAAAAATCATATGTAGGCCCAAAAATTAGTTTTGGGCTATTACAAAAACTGCTTTCAATTAAACTTTGAGGTGTGATTTAGGCACATCAATTCTTTTGATAAGGGCACACCTCTAATAACGAGACAAAAAAGTGGATGTTAAAGGCTTTTGTCCACTTTTAATCATGGGTTAGTTGCACTCCGGCTTATGCTTTTAAGAAATTAGCAGACATGCATGCATTTTGATCATGACAATTTTAGTTTAGATGATGATGATGTTTAATATAATGGATATATGATATTAGAGGTCCGCCAACTGTTTCTTCTTCAAACTTTTTGTTTTTTTTAATATGTGTTTCTGTGTTTTTAATTTTTATTATTAAATTATTACATCACATTTGCCCCAAAATGTTGAATAGTTAACCCACTACAAAAATAACTCTATTTCTTTATGTTAGTTTTAAATTTTGAATCTTAAATCCAACATCAATAAAAAAATTCTTCTTTATCACATTTAATTTCTTTAATATGATTGATTATTAACCATAGATGGATAATGGGCCCTCTAATCTTTTGCAGTTCCATTTATAATGTATCTTTTTTGATTTATGACAGTAAATGCATTGGGTCAAATAGCGAGGAGGTTGGGGAAGACAAACTGGGATTTCAGTGTCGATCCATGTAGCGGCCAATCTGGATGGAAAACACTCCATCCATTAAAGGGATCTGAAAATGCTGTCACTTGCAATTGCTCCTCTGACAACACTGTTTGCCATGTTACAAGCATGTATGATTACATTATGTTTATGTTAGAGAATAAAAACCTATTCAAGGACCTCACCTAATAGCTTAAACTTTTAGGCTATGTTTGGTTTGAAGGAAAATGTAGGGAAAGGAAGGAAAAGGTAGGGAAACCTTTATAACCCTTGTATTGGTTTCCTTGTCATTCCTTTTCTTTCCCAACCTTTTCCTTCAAACCAAACATAGCCTTAGGTTAAATGGTTCCTTGAGATGGTACCGGAGTTAATTTGACCAAGTGGTCTAATGTTTGATCCTCTTTGCCCACATGCCTTGTGATGAAATTTAATTAATTATAATGGGGCATTGAGGATTAGACACTAGACCATGTGGTCAAACAAGCTTTGATACCATCTCAAAGGAACCACTCAACCTAAAAACTTAAGCTGTTAGGTGAGGGCCCTGATTAGGTCTTTATTCTATAACAGTTTAATCAAATGTTTACTGAATTAAGTGAACTGGGAATAAAAATTGCTGCATGAATGAATCCTTCTAGACTATATACTCACATCTACTAGAACTATGGTGGCAACAATTACAGCACTCCCTTGTAATCCCCAATGAATTGATAAATGGGCATACCAATAATGGAATCAGTTCACAAGTGAGGTTTTGAATTTATTTATACCACTTATCTATCCATGTTTCATTGGGAACAAAGGAATGCTGCGAGTAAATGTGCTCTCCAACACAAGTTGGGATTTCCTCCCAATAACAACTGTCCCAACACAATTTCAACATGATCTGTGTGGTATTTAGATTTCTCCTTCTAGAATTGGTCATCATACCCACCTCATAGCCTTTATAGCTGCATATGGGGATCATTTAATTTGCATACTTGTATGTTTTTATTTATGGGGATATGTTCCCAATGCATGGCTGCAAGGGTGGTGAGGTGGGTGTCAGGACCAAATTCTGTGAGGGGGAAATCCAGATCATCTATATCAACACTTCTCACCAAAAGACTGGGACCGATCAGAAGGTGGGAAAAAAAACTTTGGAGAAATTTACTGTTTGCCACATTAGATTTGCTTAATTTCAAACTATAATTAACTTGTCACATTTAAAGTGTTAGTAATGCTACACCATATCACCTAATCCTTTCAGTAGACTTGCAAATGGTATACTGGTTGTCAAAATAAATTTGAGTTCAAAGAACAAAGGGTGATCTGATTAGATCATATGCGATCCACCTCTATCTATCTATCTATCTATCTATCTATCTATCTATATATATATATAAAACGGTATGATATTAGAAGAACCTTGAGCAATCAAACCCCTAATTAATTTTATAAATAAAACCAAATTGGTTACCACTTTTCCCAATATCATGTCTTGTTAATGTACCATACATTACTCATAATCAAGCCCCCACGTGTTCATATATACTTAAAATTTATATTATATCTAATGTTTTCGAATCGCCGTTGACTTGGACGATCAGACTGTTCGGCCTAGGAACCGTCTAGGCAACTAGTTCAGCTTTACCTCAAACCTAGTTCCTAGCCAAAAACATTGAATTGGTCAATGACCCGTTGACCCGACAATCGAACCATCGACCCATTCAATGGTTTTTTGTGATTTTTTATTTTAATTCTTTTTTAATTTGTTTGTCAGAGTGGGCTGTCTGATCGAATCGGATGGTTGAACCATCAACCCGAAACCGGTGGCCAAAACGATTCTGATTCCAAGTCAGTTTTTAAAACATTGATTATATTATTAATAAAGTTGATATGAATGTTGTGTTTTTTTTTTTTTCTGAAAGGTTTTAAGTTTCATGTAGAAAAAAATCAACATTTGTTCATAAAATGTGATATCAAGTAATTTTTTATTTATTTTATTAGTATTTTGATTATTCTTAGTTAATTCAATTACATTATTCAATAATAGTGTGAGAGCACTAAAAGATCATGTAGATATGTATAAATAAGTATCAACTTATATGACCTGCATCCAATACAAGGTAAGTATCCACTTCAGATAGATATAGATAATTAAATATAAAAAGCATAGATAAATCATAGATGGATATTTGGAATTCTATTAAAGAAGCTCTATTCGAATCTAACGTAAATCCGATTCGAATTCGAATATAAACGAATCAAAATTGGATCCGGTTATATACGATTCGATTCGATCCGTTTGCATCACTTACCGTTACTGGTCATCAAGGCTTCAAGGCAAGACAGTAAGGCCTCAATTGTCGCTTGTCGGTTTTGCAGACTTCTCAAATCTCAGGGTCTGCCAGGAGTTCTCCCGCCAGAGTTGGTTAAACTTCCATACCTCAGAGAAATGTAAGAGGCGAAGAGCTCCCCTACATTCCCCATGGCTCACTTTATCCTTTCTCCACATTTAAACATACTTCTGTCACAGTGATTTCACCCGCAACTACCTTAACGGTACAATCCCGCCAGAATGGGGTTCTACGAAATTGGAGATCATGTAAGTAGACTCTATCTATTCCATTGCTTTCCATTCTCATGGAGTGCCCTAGCAATGAAAAGCTTTTGTTTATCCAAAGTTAATCAAGAGAGTATCGCTGCAGCTCCCTTCAAGCGAATCGTTTGTCGGGTTCAATACCCAAAGAACTTGGAAACATCACCACTCTCCAACAGCTGTAAGTTTTGATTTTCTCTCCCTTTCTGTGGTTTAGTCTTTGTCTTTCAATTGTTGTCTTTTTCTTGGGGTTTTATTTAAGTAGTTTAAATCTTCAGGGTCCTCGATCACAATTACTTCTCTGGAGTTCTTCCTCCAGAGCTTGGGAATCTCGTCAACTTGCAGAGACTGTAAGGCCTTCCTTTCATTCTGCATACCTTATGGAGTCTTAATTTTTCTAATTTTGTATCTTTGGAGGTCTTTATAATGTATATCTCTCTGTGGGTGGTTGCAGTCTACTTTCCTCAAATAACTTGACGGGGCAGTTGCCGGATAGACTTTCTAACCTGGTCAGCTTGAAGGACTTGTAAGTCTGAAATTGTATCGCTTTTTATAATCTAAGTTCTGAATAAATCGACAGGAATCTTCCTCCCTAAAATATTCCTGTAACCGCCCTCTGAGGGCGAAGCACCCTGGTGTTGCTTGCTAGCATTCCTCTTTAAATATCCCTAAACTTAGGTGGCTTGGTGTCATTTACAATCTTAAGGACAGTCAAGACATGGATGGTCTGGATCAGTCACAGGATTCCTCCATGTCAGAAATAATTGGGTCATCTGGCAAGCTTCCCTGACCCAATTTAGAAAGTTTTAAAATCTGGTATTTGTTTTCTTGGCACAAAGGTTGGGTTGCTCCACTGCAACCTTGTGACCAGGGTTCAAATATTGGAAACAGCCTCTCTGTATGTGCAGAGGTAAAGCCATGTACATCTGTCCCTCCCCAGACCTTGCATTGGCAGGAGCCTTGTGCACTGGGCTTCCCTTTATACGTTATTAAAATCTGGTATTTGTTTTCTTATATTATTTTTCTGCCTTAGAAGTTATTCTTGTTTTTATTGACTACTATGGCTGACATACTGCAGTCGAGTAAGTGATAACAAATTTAGTGGAAAAATACCAAGCACTATAGGAAACTGGATGAAACTCAAGAAATTGTAAGAGATTCCAATTTTAAATTTCTGAGTGTCTTTTATGAGGTAAAATTTGAAAAGGTTATTTATATCTCATATGTTTCACTTAAATTTGATTAATAACAGAGAAATGCAGGCTAGTGGTTTTGAAGGTCCCATTCCTTCTGAGATTTCTATTTTGGAGAACTTAACTGATATGTAAGTAGAAGTGTCTTTATTTCATATTGTTGCAGATAGTTTTTAATATATAGCAACATCTTTTTTTTTATCAATAAATATATAGCAAGATCTTGGTGATCTTCAATCAAACAATTTCTGGTCCCCACTTCCAGTGCAATTTTTGTATGCAGAAGGATCAGTGATATAAATGGCCCAGACACATCTTTTCCATCGCTGGGCAAGATGAACTTGACAACATTGTGAGTTCAATGGCTATACATCTCATAATATCTGGAAGTAAAGTTTTTCTATTAAATTGTGGTTTGTTGACATTCTTTTGAATTCCTTATTGTAGGATGCTGAAAAGTTGCAACATAATTGGAGAATTACCCCCATATCTTGCGAAGATGAGACAATTAACAACCTTGTAACTCTCTCTCTCTCTCTCTCTCACACACACACACACACACACACACAAGATACATATCTTGAATATTGTTTTGTGCATCTCATTGATATTATCACAATTGACCGTTCTCTTGAAGTTTTATGGCATGTTGCCCTCTTAAATAGCTTCTCATGTCCTGATCTCTTGAGAACAGATTTTCCAGTCCATCCCATTTAATAGCACTATAACATATTATCCTCTTTAACTTTTTTTATTGCGACTTTTCTCTCCAAGTGATAGCATATTATATTCTATTGTTTATGCATTTTTTTATCTCAGTTGCTTCAAAGTGTTGGTACTCTTCCCTTTTCATGCATGGTACATAACTTTCACTTATTGAATAACTTTTCAAAAAACAAAAAATATGAGAAACTCCATTAACAGTAATTGAAACTACTATTGACTAGAATACCCCTATTTTTTAATTTGGTCCCTCTCTAATTGTGAGGGCACAAAATGCAATTGGAACTACTACATTTCTCCTCATTCAATTCCCTCTCATTTAGTCTTATATTTAGGGAATTAACTCCCATTCTTTCATTGAATCCTATAGTAATTAACCATATTAAAGAAGCCTCCCTTGAAGTTTTTGACTATTGCTGAAACCTCCTATGAAGTTTGGTAATGGCAATCACCTCCCCTGTACTTCCTGACACAATTACAAGTAGACCCTCCTGTTAAAATCATCTAATAAGAGGCACAAAATGTCCAAAATAACGATGCAGTTACTTTTGACCACAGTTTATTTTCCTAATTTTTCTCTTCATATCAATCTACCCGAGCCCTTCCAATCTCTTTCGGAAATTGATTTATTTTTCAAATTTTCTCATCATATTAATTGGTCAAAGGTAAAGCTGCAACTTTAAAATCTCTTTTTTTTGTTCATAAAGCTTATATTGTTTTTTTTCTGTAGAAATCAACCTCAATAATAACTGTATGGGCATTTTAGATATTTTTGTGCCTTTTGTTAGAGGTTTTTAATGAAGGGGGTCTACTTGCAATTGTTTTAGAAAGTTCAGGGGAAATGGTTGCATGTATCAAACTTCAGGGGAGGTTTCATCAACGGTCAAAAAGCTTTACGGGTGGTTTCAGCAATTTACCCTAAAGAAAAATAAGTGTGACAAAAAATTATTATTTTTATTGATGATAGAAATAAAATACAAACTTAAAACCAACACAAAAGTGGTTGTTTTCCTGTTTAGTGGCAAGTCAACAATTCAGCATTTTGGGTCAAATGTATCAACCCTAGAAAAGATGAAAACGCAAAAGTATAAAAATACAAAAACTTTTATAGGAAGCATTCTCTTGTATCATATATTGACCATATTAAACAAAAATAAGTGTGAAAAATAAGAATAACTTTTATAGGCATAGAAATATAAAAAATTGTATAATACTTTGGCAACATATTATTTTTTATCATTATTATCATAAAAAATTGCACATGCAAAGTACATGTGTGCTTACTAGTATGTAAAGAGACTGGGCCGAATGGGCCCTAACAGCCTCTCTTGTAATATCTTTTATTTTATGTTGATGGGCCACACTTAATGGGCCTGTTATTTATTCTTGTTTATTTCCTTTATGTAACTGCCAAGCTGGCCGCCCACTTAAGGGCATACTTGTCA